GGGGGAAGCGCTCCCTACAAAAGATTTTTCCATATCCAGGGCTCGAACTCGAGACCTCTGGTTAAGGGAGGAGCAATTTCATCCACTGCACCACATCCTTTGGTGATTTTGAGTGAATTGCATAACTTGGAGTACTTTACTTCTAACATCTTCTACTCAAGTTTTTGCTAATTAAAGATAATAGTCAAAAAAAATTGTTTGAGATATTACTCCCTTTGTTCGCTTTTGCTTGTCCACTTTAGACTTTTCACGTCCCTTAAAAAATAATAATTATAATATATAATTTACCATATAACCCCTAATAATGATTGCATTTCAAAAAGTCTTGGGAAATAAATTGGGGAATGAGTAGTTAATGATAAGAATAAAACAAGAAGAAAAAAATTGTCTTTCCCTTGATTTGCTAAAATGGACAAGTAAAAGTGAAATATATTTTTAATATAGTGGATAAATAAAATTGAACGGAGGGAGTAGTAAACTTGGACTTGTTAAGCTTGTGTTTGGCCATATATTCCCAAAATTATTTTGAAAAACTTGATTTGGGTGGAGTTTGGTTTGAAAATGAAAATGTGTTTGAACATCAGTTTTCAAAACATATTTTACTTTTTTTTTGAAAAAACATGAATCATGACTTATACCCACAAGTTCTAAAAACTATCACAAATACCCAACAATCCCTTCATCAATAACATTCATTATATTATCACAAACCATAGTCCTGAACATAAATAAATTTGGTACAAAATTATCATTTTTATAATGAAATACATAGTACACTATCTGATGACCGAGAAGACGAAGCAGCATTATTACAAAATAATAAATGGTGGACTCTTTTATAAAATATAGGCAAAATGCATAAGTACCCCTCTAACATATACCCGTATTCCCAACTATACACTTTTTCTTAGCGGGAATTTTATTATCCCCCTGAACTTATTTTAAATGGAATTATTTGCACCCTTAACGCTGACGTGAAAGAGCGTGTGTATTTCCAGCAAGAAAAAACGATTTTCAGATTATTTTTTATTCTTTTTTACCATTTTTTCTTACTTTTTTTTTCCTTTTCCTTTTCCTTTTTCTTTTACTTTTTTTTCGTTTCTTCTCTAATTCCGGCGGATATTCATTCATCGACGACTTTGTCTAACCATTTTTCTTTCATTTTTTCTTTTCACACACAAGTTAAGCTCTCAAAAAGATCTATTCATAAGCAAAGAAAAATACACTCAGATTGGGGGGNGTTCTTCCTCCAACACATAAATTACACTTTCAAGAAAAATTTATATATATATAAAACAAAACACACTTAGATCGGGATAAAAATCTGTCGCTGGGAAAAAAAAGTTCACCGGAATAAATGGTGTTTGTGAAATTCCGACGACCATCATTTTATGCCGCCGATGACCAAAACAAAAAGAAAGAGAATGAAATAACCAAAAAAATGAGAATAATAAGAAATAAGAAAAAAGGATAAGAAAAAGAAGAAAGAATAAAAAAAAAAGTACTAAAAATATATGTGGAGGCATGTGTAGCTCACCACTTGCCAAGAGTTTGGTTGTCAGCATTAAGGGTGCAAATAATTCCATTTAAAATAAGTTTAGGGGGGTAATAGGATTCCCGCAAAGAAAAAGTGTGTAGTTGGAAATTCGGGTATAGGTAAAGGGGTACTTATGCATTTTTCCTAAAATATAAAGTTTGGGGCAATTTTTAAAAATATAATAGCAATATTTTGGGCCAAAACCAGTTTTCATTTTGAAATTTGGCAAACCTTGAATAAAATTTATGAACAAACATGTATTTGCCATAAAAAATCCAAATAAATTTTAGCAAAATCTATGGCCAAACGGGTCCTAATTTTTTTGATTGATACAAGGTACTGCATTATCCCAGTCCATAATGACTTTGACAAGCTAATTAATGAATACTATTGATTGCTAAACGAAAATAAAATAGACTAGCTCGCACCTAGTGTTTATGTCAATCACATTAATTTAATAAGGTTAAGTAAAGAAGTTTATTAAATGACACAATTTATATGATGCACTTTTTTTTTAGTCGTTTTCAAATAAGAAATAAATTTATATATTTGAAAATAATTTAACATTACATACAATACAGTAGCACTTGTAGCTAAGTTTGGCAAACGAGCGGGTTGGGATTGTGACATGGGTGGATCGAAAATGGTAATGCAAAAAAAGGATAAATAATCCGACCCGATCCATACAGATAGAAATAGGTTAATCGGCGGTTAATATGGATATCCATATTAAATGGCTTCTTAAAAGTATGATTACTTTTTTGAGAATTCTTAATCTCTCAAACTTAAGGAACCCCCTAATTTGAGTCTTTGTAAATATAAAAGTTAAATTCATTGGTTATCTATTTTTTATGTGAAAAATATGGACTTATTCATATTTGACCCATTTTTAAAAAAATCATTATCCAACCCATATTCTAATAAAAAATATGGATGATTTAACTGTTTTTTATTCATTTTGCCACTACTATTCGTAGCCATCAATCCTGGATCCGTTTATGTTGGTAAGTTTACACATTGAATTGGTAGAAATACTAAATATGGACAAAGTTTTATAGTTTCTACTTTCTAGCATAGGGACAAAATAGCAGCTATGTAGCAATAATTAGTTTAGAAAACGAATTCAATATCAATATGCTTTCACTTTCACTAACTAGTACCCCTATCCTTCTCATCACCTGGCAAATTTAACTCCATATACCTACCAAAAATTTAATAAAATATTAATTGTACCTACGAACTCTTCATAAGATTTCTACATGACTTATGCAGCAGTCGGTGGCGGAGTCGCATGTATTTTAAGAGGGTGTCAATTAATACCCTTTCCTCAAAAAACTATACTGTATAGGTAGATAAATTCTTTTTTGTTAACGTATACTATATATTGACACTCATTCGCTTCCTCGCGCGTTTACCTCCTTATATTTTGACCGTCGTTAATAAATATCCCGGCTCCGCCAGTAACAACAATGGGTCAATTTCTAAAATCTTGGAGCAGTTTTTGATGCTATAATTGGGAACAGACGAATTTATGACATAAATTATTAAGATGTATGTAGTGAAGCAGCTGTTGGACTTTAAGCCATTGGGTTTTAAAGTAGAAGAAGTGCGGATTGGAAATGGAGGAAAATAAAATGGAGGGAAAATG